TTTTTTTTTTTTTTTTTTTTTTTTTTTAAAGAATGCCTCCTTGATATAGGAAATTGAATTGGAAGAGGAGAGGGCACCTGGCTGGCTCAGGTGGTAGAGGCTGTGACTCTTGATCTTACGGTTGTGAGTTCAAGCCCCACATTGGGCATAGAGCCGACATTTAATAAATTTCTTAAATTAGAAGAGAAAATGAGGTTTAGTAGAAGATAAGGGAATGAGTAAATTAAAATTTGGTAAGAAGATGAATAAATGAAAGAAACATCTGACTGGAATATCTAGCCTAGTAAACGTAAAAGGTTTGTGGCCTATTTTATGTAGACTGTGGAAGCAAGGGAGACCGTGACTGAATGTGTTTTAGGCATAGAAATGTGTTGCCTCGTATTCCAAACAGCTTTGTTTCATAGAATAATATTTTTCTTGCTTTGTGGTAGCAGTTAAACAGTGAGGTTCTCATCATTAATAAATATTTCAGTTGGTGTACAGGTAACACTTATTTCAGAATCCTTCTATAGAAACTTCCTCTTAGATACGATATTCAACATGGTTCATGTGGCATCATTTACTTCAATAAGCCATATCTCTCTGCGGATGAACTGTGTATTTTTGTCACAGTTGAAACTCTGGAGTTACATATGACACTTAACATTGGGAAAGTTAAAATTGTTTGGCAAACATAACTATTTTTATTATTACTAGACGTCATTTTAAGCATTTAGAACTATGGAATGTTGTACTGAATACCAGATATGGAGAAGGACTTTGTTTTCTTACATAAGTGGTATGATTAGCTGAGAATATTCTCATATCAGCCAAGATCCTTCTCTGTGGGATTTATTTATAAGGCAGATTTCTCATGTAGTGAAAAAACAAGTGTGATTTCAGAATGGGGTTCAGGAAATAACTTGATCTTGTACCTTACCGTGATATAAAGTATGAATCAAATAATCTGTTGTAGATCTGCATATATATTTTTTTTATATCCTGATGCTTTATAAGTGTATCTAGACAAGTATTCTGAGTGAAGTCAGGAGCTTAAATAGCATAGGCTATATATTTAGGCTAAAGGAAAAACAACCAAAATTCAGCTAAACATGGAAGAAGAGAGGTGGAATCTAAGGAAGCATTTTTACATAAAAGAAAATGAATTTATAAACAGTGGCCTAGGAGAATAATGTAGAAAAAAGGGGTCAGAATCTAGAGAACCTCCCACTGGGGCTTTTGGGGCTGGAGTCTAGATAATGAGAGAAAAGGACCTTGCTTCTCCAGTGACCAAGAGCTTTCAGACTGAATTCTAACAGGCTGGTTGGAAGCAGACAGTCTTAGAAAGAGAAACCAAATTCACAAAGAATCTGGCAGAGAAGAACCTGAGCTAGTTTATCTGGTAGGGTGGACCAGACTAAGCTCTGCAGTACATTGCATCTGAGATTTGTACTTTGAGAAGCCTCACACTTTTTATTAGGTAGATATGTTGTTTTATCTAAAAGGTAGACCTCAGAATGATCTTACTGATGAGAAATTTGTCCAGTAGAATTAAGGAGAGGACTATGTTCCATGAGAAGAAATCATTAAGTCCTCAGATGGGTACCCAGAAGAGAGACAGCTTCTACGTAGGATTTCACCATGTAGGCTCACCCATGTAATTATATAGATTTAAAGAGGCAATGACATATTGCAAATGTGGCCAGTATGATCTCTTAATAAGAGGACACTGCTAATGAGATTAATATCAGAGTCAGAGGATACTTGTAGGTATATGGTAGCTTTTACAAACAGATGCCCTGTAAAGCATCTGTGTTTCAATCAGTGATACTCTTATCACCACTATTGTATAAAAATTTCTTGTGCATCAAAGTGCTAGTGTTGCCTTTGCGTTTGAGGTTTTCCTTTGCAGAGAGATTGTCATTTCATCTGAGCCTATCACTAGATAAAGCTATTCTTATTCTTGTTTTTCTGTTACAGAAATTGATGACTTGGATGCCATTGTACCTGCAGTAAAGAAATTAAAAATACTTTCATACTGAAAACAAATCAAATTATTTTTACTGTGTAAATTGCATTCTTAACATTCTGAGTATTTTGTAGGATCGTGCTTTAAGACAAGGGTTAAAAATGTATTTAGTCTCAGAATTCATCCCCTTCTTAATATTGGGTCTTCCCATCTATATTTTTGTTAACTTTGAGATTCTTATAGAGAAAATAGTTGCGAAGCTAAAGTGGTAAGTTAACTTTAAATCCTTTAATCTTAAGGAATTCGTGAGTGCTTATAAGATTGTTTTAAAATGTAGTGTGTAAGTAAAAGAAAAACTCAGGGAGACAGGTTGCAAACAATAGAAAGATTGCATTTAAATTGAGGGTTTACTGACCTTTTTTATTCTGGGAATAAGGATTGCCAATGGCTGTCTTGAATTCAGCCAATAGGAACCTACTGCTTTCCTGGCAAGGAAATTGCACATTCTACTGAGATATCCTTCATGGCACTTGACCTTTCAAAGCTGGAGGAAGAAAAGGAAGAAGAAAAAAATGTTTTATCTTTGGGTTAGGTTAGGAAATGAATTATGAGGTAATAGAGAGGAGTAGATAATAGTCTCTCATTGAAAAAAGTGTCTTTTTTGCAATCTTGATGTAATGTACTTTTTATAAGGACATGAAATCTTAAATAAAGTTCTTGTGAAGAATTTCCAAATGTAAGTGTCCTCAGTGATTTATTTGCATTATTCACATATAATGAGTCATATTCTCTTACAAGGCTGAGCCTTGCTGCATTTTATTTTACCAAGAATGCTTTTATTGCTGCTTCTACTTATTCTCTGTTCTCAATATTCAGTCTGAGTTTCTTAAGGGACCAGTGTTACTCTCCCCCCCCCCCCCCCCCCCCCCCCCCCCCCCCCGCCCCACCAATCCCTTGCCACTCTGTTATAAGTAGCAGGCCTAGGTTCTTTCTAGATTTAAAATTCTTTGATTTTTTAAATTTTTTTTTTCAACGTTTATTTATTTTTGGGACAGAGAGAGACAGAGCATGAACGGGGGAGGGGCAGAGAGAGAGGGAGACACAGAATCGGAAACAGGCTCCAGGCTCTGAGCCATCAGCCCAGAGCCTGACGCGGGGCTCGAACTCATGGACCGCGAGATCGTGACCTGGCTGAAGTCGGACGCTTAACCAACTGCGCCACCCAGGCGCCCCTAAAATTCTTTGATTTGTTAGGCTGCAGTTACATTTCTAAAAATTTTTTTTAATGTTTATTTATTTTTGAAGGAGAGAGAGGGACAGAGTGTGAGTTGGGGAGGGGCAGAGAGACAGACACACACACAGAATCTGAAGCAGGCTCCAGGCTCTGAGCTGTCAGCACAGAGCCTGATGAGGGGCTCGAACTCACAGTGAGATTGTGACCTGAGCCGAAATCAGATGCTCAACCATCTGAGCCACCCAGGCACCCCTGCAGTTACATTTCTAAACATGAGCCCACAATCTGTGAAAGGACCTGTGTCTTTTGAGAGTTGGGTAGAAAAAGTAATTGGATATTTAATTATGTAAATACTCTGAGCTGATTAGATCACTCCAAGAAATTGCTGTGAGGCAGCTAGGAAATCTAATGTTATTTGAAATGAAAAAATATAATTTAAATTTTTTTTTTTCAACGTTTATTTTTGGGATAGAGAGAGACAGAGCATGAACGGGGGAGGGGCAGAGAGAGAGGGAGACACAGAATCGGAAACAGGCTCCAGGCTCTGAGCCATCAGCCCAGAGCCTGATGCGGGGCTCGAACTCACGGAGCGCGAGATCGTGACCTGGCTGAAGTCGGACGCTTAACCGACTGCGCCACCCAGGCGCCCCCATGAAAAAATATAATTTAAAAAGTATGTGAATTTAAATTTTGTTAGCTAGTTTAAGAATCTCTGGCTGACTCTTAGGTTTTTTTTTGTTGTTATTGTTTTTTGTTTTTCAATTTTTTTTTTAACGTTTATTTATTTTTGAGACAGAGAGAGACAAAGCATGAACGGGGGAGGGTCAGAGAGAGGGAGACACAGAATCCGAAACAGGCTCCAGGCTCCGAGCTGTCAGCACAGAGCCCAATGCGGGGCTCAAACTCACGGACTGCGAGATCATGACCTGAGCCGAAGCGGCCGCTCAACCGACTGAACCACCCAAGCGCCCCTTAGCTCTTAGTTTAAAACAAGTTTCAAACTCTTCCTCAGAGGCCTCAAGAGTTTTTTGGAGGATCACTGAATGGGACAGTGCCACTAGTAAGAACTTTAGGCCCCCTCTGTTGGATCTACTTTTATCCGGTTTTAATTATTTAAAATATAAGTAAAGTACTGAAATTAGTGTTTAGCCCCTTTTTAACTTTTTAATTATGGAATAATTGATTAGTAGGTTGAACATATTTAAAGTATACAATTTGATAAGTTTTGATGCACCTATACCTGTGAAACCATCACCACAATCAAAATAATAAACATATCAATCTCTCTCCAAAGCTTCTCTCTTTGCTCTTGGTAATTTACCCAGCCCCTTGCCACCCCTAAGCAACAACTGATCTGTTCTCTGTCATTATAGACTCGTTTGCATTTTATGGGATTTCATGTAAATGGAATCATAAAATTGATTTTAAAAAGTTGTTCTCTTTTTTTGTCTGGCCTCTTTCACCATAATTGTTTTGAGATTTTTGCATGTTGCATTTATTAATAGTTCATTCCTTTCTATTGCTGTGTAGTATTCCATTGTATGAATATACCACAATTTGTTTATCCATTCACCTAGTGATGGAGATTTTAGTTATTTTCCAGTTTTTTACTACTACAAATAAAACTGCTATAAACATTCATGTTCAGACTGTTATGTGGACATACCTGGTATCCAGTGTCTTGAAAACTGTTGTTTCATGTATTTTGTCTGTTCTTTGTTTTGTTTTGGTTCTGGTTGGTACAGGTGGGAGGGTAAATTTGGTTTCTGTTACTCCATCCTGGTTAAAAGTGGAAGTTTAGAAGTATTAAGTCTGAAAATGTGTAGGGTTCTTAGGTTGTCTTTTTATTATTTTTTTAAATTATTTTCTTCTAATTTTACTGCATTGTAGTCAGGACATGTTTTGTTTTTTGGTATCAGGTCTTTGGAAATTGTTGTTTCTTTGTCACTTTTTATGTGATGAAATTTATACATATTCCACAAGTTGTTTTAAAAAAAAAAGCCTGATCTCTATTTGATATATATGGCTATTATACTTTTTTTAATATATATAATTTATTGTCAAGTTGGCTAACATAGGGTGTATACAGTGTGCTCTTGGTTTTGGGGGTAGATTCCCATGATGCATAGCTTACATACAACATCCAGTGCTCATCCCAACAGGTGCCCTCCTCAATGCCCATCACCCATTTTCCCTCTCCTACCCCACTCAGCCCTCAGTCTGCTCACTTATTTAATTTTATTAATATTAAGTTCAATAATTAATTTAATATAATATTGTTGTCTAAATTAGGCTGCTTTAATATACATGTGTGTATTTTTCAGCGTGCTCTTGGTTTGGTAGATTCCCAGTTAGATTCATCAAGCATACAACACCTAGTCTCATCCCAAGCCTCCTCGGTGGCCTTCATCCATTTCCCTCTCTATTTCCCCCATCAACCTCAGTTTTGTTCTCTGTATTTGAGGATCTCTTATGGTTCTCCCTCCCTCCTCCTGTAACTATATATTTTTTCCCTTCCTTCCCCATGCAGCTTCTATTTAGTTTCTCAAGATCCACATGTGGGTGAAAACATATGATACCTGTCTTCTCGACTATGTCACTTAACATGATACCCTCCAATTCCATCCACATTGCTGCAAATGCAGGATTTCAATTTCTTTCTCGATTACTAGATAGTATTCCATTGTATATAAACCGACATCTTCTTTATCCATTCATTAGTTGATGGACATTTTGGCTTCTTTTTCATATTTGGCTATTGTTGAGTGTGCTATAAACATTGTGTATTTATGTGTCCCTATGAATCATCATTCCTGTGTATCCTTTGGATAAATCTAAGTGCTATTGCAGGGGTTGTAGGGTGTTCAATTTTAGTTTGAGGAACCTCCATTGTTTTTTCCAGAGCAGCTGTACCAGTTTGCAGTGTCCCACACAGTGCCAAGAGATTCCGTTTCTCCACATCTTCACCAGCATCTATTGTTTCCTGAGTTGTTAATTTGCTCTACTCTGACCAATGTGAGGTGGTATCTCAGTGTGGTTTTGATTTGTATTGCCCTATATGATGAATGACATTGTCATTTCATGTGTCTGTTGGCCATCTGGATGTCTTCTTTTTGGAAAGTGTCTATTCATGTCTTCTGCCCATTTCTTCACTGGATTATTTGTTTTTTCAAGTGTTGAGTTAAGTATAGTTGTTTATAGATTTTTATTACTAACCCTTTTACCTGATATTGTCATTTGCATATATCTTTTCCATTGTGTGGGTTGCCTTTTAGTATTGTTGATTGTTTCCTTTGCAGTGCAGAAGCTTTTTAATCTTGAGGTCTCAATAGTTCATTTTTTGCTTTTAATTCCCTTGCTTTTGAGAATGTGAGCAGAAATTGCTGTGGCTGAGGTCAAAGGTTATTACCTGTTTTTTCTCTTCTCTAGGGTTTTTTGATGGTTTCTGTCTCATTCTGAGTCTTTCCATCCATTTTGAGTTTATTTTTGTGTATGGTGTAAGAAAGTGGTCAGAGTTCATTCTGTGCATGTTGCTGTCCAGTTTCTCCTTCGCACTTTGCTAAAGAGATGTTTTTCCATGGATACTCTTTTCTTGCTTTGTCAAAGATTAGTTGGCCATTGCTTTGTGAGTCCAATTCTTGGGTTTCTGTTCAATTCCATTGATCTATGTCTGTTTTTGTGATTACCTCTATCTTGATCGATTACATGCACTGGTAGAAGCCTGTAGAAGTCCTGGGTTCCGATGCCTCCTGCTTTGGTTTCTTTTTTCAACATGTACTTTGGCTATTCAGGGTATTTTGTGGTTCCATACAAATTTTTAGGTTCTTGACTAGCTTGAG